CATAAAACTAATGAAAGGGAAGATGTTTTGGGCCTAAAGGTAAGAGAATTTCATAATTAATGAACTCATTTTCATTCGTTCAATTTACTAAGTTTCTTATTTATTGAGTTTCGCTCGGAAATTCCATTGATAAACGCGTGTGCGATTAAAATTGAAAAGAGTGAGCAGTAATAGGATGAATCATTATTTATTAGGCGTCCTGGCACAGAATCCCCTCAAGCACAAGATAGGTCACGAGATAATTAACAAAAAAAACATGGATAATTAATAGACAATAAAAATATTATGAAAAATAAAAGAGAGAAAAAATGTGTACATACATATATATATAGATGTAGATTTGGGACATTCCAATAAAAGACCATGTCTATTGTATTGTCTTTTGTGTCACGCGTGATGCCGGTAGCCCTGAATGTGTGCGGCAAATGGAAAGCTAATGACCGGAAATAAGAGTACATCAGGCAGGTCGATCTGTAGTGAATTTTCCAAATATACCGCGAGATATATTTCCGCTTCCTCCTGTAATGTAAATGCAATTTGGAAGAAATTATTCTTCACAATTTTCATCCACCGCGGCCAATCATTTTTGTTTGGCTCCATATTGCGAATGTTAATCCTGTGATTACAGATACCATTACTATTTACCGTAGAAATCAATCGCATCGATTGTTCGATGGGTTAATTAAGACAATCGCAAAACAAAGTAATCGATATATGCAACACACATATTTTATATATTGCATCATCTCGAATATTCAAAAGTCCTCGTCGACGTCTATCGATTGATAGTCAGATTATAATTAGCGTGTAAAATAATAATATCTGCTTCTGTACACTCAAATTTGCAATCTGAAATTATCGCTAAATAGCAGCATTAATTCGCTACTTTATAGCGGCAAAATATTTTATTTCTGAGAGGTAGATTTTTCTCCTGAAAGCAAATATACGAGACGCAACATTTTTTAGGAAAAAAAACGGGCTCTATCTCGTCGTTCGTGCTTTCTAAGCTCTGTTCGCGTCTTCGAGAAGCCTCGAACGTCCGACTGGCGTCCTGTGACTTTGGAAATAGAAAGTCACTTTGAAAATAGGCTCCGAAAATATGCGCGCCTGGCGAACCCTCCCGTCGTCTCGGTTAAGAAGAAGAAGAAGAAGAAGGAGGAGGAGAAGGAAAAGAGGAAGACGCTGAAGAAGAAGAAGGAGAAGGAGGACCGCGATGAGGAAGAACGAGGAAGAACGATGAGGAGACGAGAGGAGCGCGGGAAGTAGACGTGGTTTTAGACTACGGACTCGGCGCGTCGGCGTCGAGTTAAAAATAACAGTAACAACGACGGAGCCAGTCCTCGTCGTCGTCATCGTCGTCGTCGCCATCGCCACCGTCGCCGCCATCGTCGTCGTCGCCGCCATCGTCGTCGTCGCCGCCATCGTCGTCGTCGTCGTCATCGTCGCCCTCGTTGTCGACTACACAGTCCACATCGCGTTTACCGCTGTTGCCGTTGGTTCGTATCTTCCTTCGCTGAGCTGGACGGCGATATCGATGACGCTACCACATCGTTGCGACATAGCCTTGAGCATGGCTGTGCGTCGCGCCGAAGAAGTCTAGGCGCGGAGCCGCGCCGTTTCGACTTTTTTCTTTCACAGGAATTTTAATGTGTATCCGCCGAGGTGGCGGGATTTTTATCCATTTCTATGATTTGTTCTTTTTTTTCTTTTTTTTTTGTCCGCACGCTTGGCGAACGACGCGGCTTATAATCATTTTGGTCAGAGTCTCCCGGCCGTTGGTTACACGCGGAAATCTCGCGTGTTTGTCAGGACGAATTTATAAATCTCGTTGACGAATTGTCACGTTCCCGTCCCGCGAGAAACTTTCGCGCCGGTAAAACATGCCGGACAAATTTGTCGGCCGGTGACCATGCTTTTTGCGAAACAGAAATTATTTAGCTCGCACTTCTCTCCACGCGAGTTGATGTATTTGTAGACTTTCGGGGCGTAAACTTGACGGACGAGACCTGTCGCGGGATCTCTTCTATCATCGCGACAGCCGTTTGCTTGTTATTATTGTGTTCGTGAAAAGGACACATGTCAAGTTTGATCATTTATAGTATTTGCGGTTATATATTTATACGTGTTTGCTACACACGATATATTATCAAATTTCTTGAAACAGAAACTTGTCGGATCTCATTCACATATTCGTCCAATTCTCAATTTGTCAAGCACGAGAAATACAGGCTGTTCAAGTTTGTCAAAGTGCGTTATATTTTATTCGAAAAACAAGGAAAAACTCCGTGTGAGAAATTGTCGCTTATCTTCGAATGGACAGACTGTTATGAATTAAATATTAACGTATTAGAAAGCGTAGGTGCAACATAATACAGCAGAAATAGAATGTCGTGCGTAATACAGATAGATATCTCGTTACGCAATCTTTTGTTTGACCAGAAATATCTCAGATATTTATGATGAAATTCGAATTAACATTTTGACCATTTCAGTTTCAGTTTTTAATCATTGTCGATCAGATTGTCATATTTGAAAATTTATTCGAAGTCGTAGGCGCTTGAGTTTCACTCTTGATGCGATGCACATGCGAAATGATGTTTCGGTCTCATCTGGGATGGGCCAGAAAGTATTAAGTAAGAATGCCGATATTATATCTATGAGAGTCGCATATATCTGTGCCGAAGTATCATGAGTCGGGGCTCGAGAGGGGGGGGGGCTCGAAATCTTGGCCGCGCGCGCGCGCGCGCGCGGCGATCAACGGATTCTCTCTACGCGCAACGACGAGACGGATTTTATTTCGTACCGCGGTAGCGTCCCGCGCGACCCCGATGCCACCGGCCCCGTCAGCAGGCATCCCCCTCCAGTATCTTGCTGCCCCAGCGCGCCGCGGCTGACACTCGTAAATCCAAAGCCGCGGCGTGCGATTGCCGCCGCGGATACTTCGGGATAATGCTTGGACGGTGTCGAACATCGCGTACGTGCCGAACGAACGAACGAACGAACGAACGGACGGACAGCCACGAATCCGCGAGTGTGTCCGTCCGTCGTCGGCGCCAGACTCGAATCGAGCATTGTTCTTTTTTTTTTCTTGACGATTTCGCACAATTGTAACTTTATTGTCTTCTTTTAAAGTAAATACGCAGACATAAATATTTTAGATACCGTGATAAAAGAGCGATGCGTACCACATATTCTATCTTTCATCGTTTTAATTTATTTTTTTTTGTCTCTATGATCGAAGAATAAGGCACCCGCCCGGTAAACGGATGATCCAGATTCGATTCTCGAAGAGTAATATTTTTCGAGTAATATTTTTCGCAATAAGAAATTTTCAAAAGGGAAGCGGAGAAGGGGGGGGGAGGGTAATCGATTTTCATAAATTTGATCATCGATTTACTAAAGGCTTTAAACTGCCATGATTTTTCATGATTTGCAATATTTCGAATTTGTAGATATTTAAATTTAATGATAAAAGATTAGACTTCTAAGATCTAGTCCATCGAGTGATGCCCTCTCTGATTTTTTTTTTCCCATTATTATATAAGGATCGCACATCGTAAAAGAACATATGATAAAGAGCAGGGATATTGGATTTGTGGATATTAAATGGCGTTTAATGCGAGAGCGCGCTTTGATAATTGCGAAGGCGCGCCATTTTGAGCGTGCGATTTCGAGCGTCGCACGCTCGCTTGCGCGGCATACCGGACGCTCTCGGCTAGGAATAGTCGAGACAGGATACGGGAACAGTTACCAACGCGCGTCAGGGCCAACGTTGCTCGGAGCGATCGGGCAAGGACGGTACCGCTACCGGCAGAGATCTTCAATTGGTCTCCTCCCGCAGGAATTTATGAAACCTGGCACCACCCCGCAGGAACTTCCGCTGACACGCGCGACTCTCTCTCTTTCGTTTGCGGATCGTCCTCGGGAAAAGCGAGAAAATAATACATGGCGAGTCGTTCGCTCGGAACGAATGCGATATCTATCGACGCGAGATTTGCAAGAGAAAGACACGCGTCGCACTCTTCCGCTCGATTCTTTTCTCTTTGAATTCGAAACTTTTTCTCTCTCTCTCTCTCTCTCTT